TAGAGCCTGTTCCTGAAAACGTGGGACAGATTTCTTCATTTTTAGCGCGGCAGGCGAGCATCTTAAAAATTTTGGAGTGCCACAAGGCCAACTTTCTTATGCTTTGCGGCGGAATTGAAATTTTTGAGAATTTTAGACAACAACCAGCCAGAATTACTCCTATTTGATGACAAAAATTTGAATTTTTGACAAATTTCGAAAATTGAAAATATCCACAAAAAATTAAAATTAAAATAAGAAAAATAATTTAATAAATTAATTATACAGTGAGGTGCAAAAGTTTGGAACATTTACTTGTAAATTGTTTAATCAATAATTTTTCATTCAAAAAATACGTTCTATATAGCAATCGAAAGCTCTATTCGTATCTCAGTTGACGTGTTTCTGCATTTTTCATGAAAATTGGCCGAGATATGCGGATTAAGCCGGATATCCCAAATCCTATATCCGCGGAAAAATTTTTCGGAAAAAATTTAACAAACCCATTTGATAAAGCATATTTTTGTGAGTATTTATCACAAAACAGCTTAGCAATATCTTTTTTCGGAACGGAGATATGATTTTTTGAAAATGACATTTTTCGCCTATTTTTGCAGAAAATTCAATTTTTAAGGGAAAAATGCCATTTTCAAAAAATCATATCTCCGTTCCGAAAAAAGATTATATGTAAATTAATGTAAATTAATGTAATTAATGTAAATTATTATTAATTATATGTAAATTAATAAAGTTAAAATAACAAATAATCTTGCCATAGATCTTGATTTGGGTTGAGAACCTTGACCAGATTTCTTTATCTTGAGTCAAGGAAAAATCATGGTCTATGTCAGATTTAATACGAACTAGTATTTAGATATTTTGTCGTCAGTTTAAACATGTTAAAATTTTATTTTTACATTGAACAGAAAGAGAAAATAAATACAAATTTTAATGAATCATTAATACAAAACTAATTTAAATTTAACGTTTCCCTTAATCATATCATTAGACATGAAAGTGAAAGAAATATAATTCTGATCATCTGACAAAAGAAAAATGTTAAACAAAAATTAAAAATAAATTCCAATTTTGTATTAATGATTCATTAAAATTAATATTTATTTTCTCTATCCGTTCAATGTAAAAATTAAAATTTTAAAATGAACGTTTATAGTGTCAATAAACACTATTAAATCACATTTTTTATTGGTACTTATCGGTTATACGCCCATAAAATGAGTGCCACCCAAATTTGATCGGCTGTAACTTTTTGAAGCTTGATCCAATTCAAATAAATCATATATCGAAAGCCCTCGATAAGAGGAAACTTTTTCCAAATTAATGGATCAAGTCTACTCGTTTAAAAGTTATAGCCCGATAAATGTAAAAAACGCTAAATAACTGGACCTATCTTGTTATAAATTTTAAATGAGTGATCAGACTTGATCTTTGTTATAGAAAAAGATACTGCTTATCGAGAGCTTTCGGATGATATAAGATATATTTGAATTGGATCAAGCATCAACAAGTTAAAGCTAATCAAATTTGGCTTGCACGCAGTTTGTGGACGTATAACCAATAAGTACCCTTATTTTATATTTTATTTATCCAAAATATATTTTTATTTAAAAAATTCCAGTTTTTTTTATTTTTAATTTATTTTCAGTTTGTTTTTGTAATGAATTTACTTTTTATTTTATTTTTATTTATATCGTTGAATGAGGTTTTGTTGTCCGGCACGGTTAATCTTGCCCAAAGAAAGACCAAATGGAGAACTGTTTTTAGCAACAAAACTTGCTCTACCGAAACATTCCCATGCCCCGAAATTTTGAATTTGTTGAAGAAAGTAAATAAATGTAATGGGTAAGTTTGGGAATTTTGAATGAATTAAAATTAATCAGACGGGTCATTTGGAAAGTTAATAATTATAAAATTGAGCTAGAATAATCGGAGGTGTTTGAATCCAGAACTAAAAAAGTAGCAAATCTGAAATTTTAGAAAATCTTAGAAAGTTGAAGAGGTGCCTCAATTATTACATAAAGTGGTTGACGCGAAATAGGATCTTGGGTTTTATTTTGATGACCCCAAGCTCTCATCCCCGCAATTCGTTTGATGCTGGATTTATCTCTTAAATCCGTTTCACTGCCTCTAAAAAATACCTCACCGGATTCTCAAACCAGATTTCTTAAACGGGGACAAATTACACAAATATATCTTTAAATCTATACTTTCTAATAATAAATTATAATTTAAAACAGACTCATCATCTGTTACCCCTCCCTCCTCTCAAACGCTTATTTCACGGAAAATACAAAGTTAAACAATCGTTTTACTTTTAACGAAACAAACACAACAAGGATTTGCGCCAAATGTATTGAAGGGAAACAGTGTAAAGGCCCGGATGGAGTTGAAACCGAATGGAGTGGTTTTCGAGTGTTTTATGATAAAAAAGAGAATAGTCTTGAAGTAAATTTGGATATTTTTGGGAAAAGGTATGTGTGAAAAATAAAGTCTTTTTAGATACCCTAAATTAGGTATATCTCAATTTAAGATTGGATTTTTATTCTGCTTCGCTGCCCACTGATTCTTGTAGGAGCATTTTAGGATTTTTATCAGCTCCCCTAGCACAACCATATCCTTAAAATTGTTACTATTTTTTCTGAAATTATACACGTGTTAAGTTCTTCTGCAAAATGTCATTCTCTTGCAAATTAGAGGTGTCATTTTAATAATAGTCATACAATAAATGATTTTTTCAGATCAATGGGGTTATAAATTAGTTTAGATTGCATGTAAATAATAAAAAAGGCAATAAAAATATTTTTCAATAGAAATACTCTCCATATTAATGGATCGACTGCAGTCGATTTTCTTCAGGCATTATCAGACAAAAATCTTATATGTACTTTTATTAAGAAATTTGTTTTTAAGTTTATAATTTAAGCAAAAATAAGAGAACAAAGCAATGTAGACGGAGTATTTTGAAGAAAGAGTTGATGGGGCTTGGTTAGAAGATTATTTGGGGGTTTTGGCATTGAACATTGATTTGGGTATTGAGGTTCCTGAAATGAATCGAGATATTGCTTTTGGAATGTTGTACCGGCGAGATTACCCAGTTAAATGTCAAAAAGAAAAGGTAGAAGAGAATTTATTTTTTGTATAATCAAATGAACAATAATGTAGAGAGCAGAGTGTGCCGGATTATAAAATCAATCCAAGACATTTTCGAATCCAAGACATGATCCAAAATCTTATCCGTCTTCTTTATCTAAATGTACATCCTTTGAGCAGAGGGGTAAAATGTTATGCTTGGGTTTTATTTATGACATTTTAGTATCTAATGTAGAAAGTTACAATGAGCAGGATTAGAAAGAGAGAAGCGGATATTAGGAATAGAGCCTTGGGTATATGAACAAATTAAACTGACACTATTTATTCTATCACATTTCATTTTATGTTTCAGAAAAAAGTTACGACAAAGGCAATGATTATAAAATCGAGTACGGCCATCAACATAAAACCTAAAGTCGGGATAACTTCGAAAATAAATAATATAACGCTAATACCTAAGAAAACAAGAGCAACAACCTCTGTTACAACGGTTAAACCTCGTTCAAGTACTGCTTTCGCTCCGATTGTAGGTTTTATAATAAATTAATTAAGGATTTTAGCTACTATGTCCCAACTTCCTCTACTGAGCTATAAAACACTTAGCCCGAACTTAACACCCCAAACGAGCTATATATTAAATAATATTTTTATTGCAGGATCAGTGCAAATTCTTTAACAATGCAGAATTGATCGAACGATATGCCTGCAAGTAAGTTTAAGAAACATTAATATTCCACGGATGGGAGTACCAGAAATTGATGAAAATTCATAATATCCTTCATAATATTCATAAAATCCTTTTATTTATATATATTCATTAATAATTTTAATATTTTTAGTTGCGCTGACTTATCTATGCGAGAACTTAATGTGTATGTTATTTCTTTAAATATACACGAATATTTTTTAAATAGAGATTTTTTACGATGAGATAAGCATAAAAAACACTTTATCGGAATAATGAGTCTATATTGGGCCTATTCGAACCTAAAACTATTTGCAGCGTATCTTGAACTTTTTTAACCTATTTTAGCTTTTTTTCGAACTTATTTAGGTACCTATTATCGGTTTCTTGGACCTAAAAAAGCTTTCTACTAATAAATTTAATAGCTTGCAAGAGGAGCTTATAATCCAAAATTACTAAAGCATTGTTTAGAGTAGAGATCGGAATTTTTTTCCGTACCGTATTACCGACTGTAATACCGATAAATACCGAGAAATACCGACAAATACCGATGTTTTTCATCGGTACCGTATTCCGTACCGTATTTTTTTTCAAAATTTTTCCGTACCGTATTCCGTACCGTACTACCGATACGGAATACCGATAAATACCGAAAAATACGGCCGTAGTACGGTACGGTCCGATCTCTAGTTTAGAGTCAAAAAAGTCAGAGTATTGTGTTTGGGTGACTCCTTAACTAATTAGGGGAACCCAAATAGCTATTAATAAAGTTTAAATTTTTTAAATAAAATTTTCATTTCAAATTTTACAAAACAATCTAATCCAGGTGTTGTGAAAACTACCATAAATGCCTTTCGAAAGTTAACGATATTATCGACAATAATTGTACTTTCTCCTCAAACATGTACTATATTTCAATTAATGTATCCAACTACGATTGGAAGTGTAATGAATGTTTGCTATTTGAAAATAGGCATTGCCAACATGAACAGTGCTTGTGTGATAAGTAAGTGTTGAGGAGAGGCAATTGTAAAAATCTGCGGAATTTTTTGTCCGGTCAACTTTACAATTGTCAAAAAATCATAAGATTTTTTGACAACCTCAAAATTGAGCCTACTCCCCCCTATGGTTTTTTTTATTTTCGAGGACCTATACTCGGCCACCAGGCATCGCCGGAAAAGAAGAGTGGTACCGTTCGACTCAGCTCATAGTGACAAATCGAATTATGGATCCTATAACAAAACTTTTCCACCGGTATACTATACTATATCCAGCTTAAATTAAAAAAATCCATTTTTAGGCAAGTTATTGAATGTTGGTCTCGAATCCCCGCTCCAAAGCATAATAAAGACGAATTAGTTAGCTGCAAAGCAAAATTTATTGATGAAGTCAAAGATAATCCAAAGTTTCCCATTGTTAATGTTACCAAGATTCGCCGAAATAATGATAAAAGTTGGGAGAAACTAGATAAGATTGAAAAGGAAATTGACACGAGAAAAAATGATTGGGCGACTATTGAATTTGTTGGTGAAACCCAACAGGCGGCTATAAAATATTTTGATGACATTGATTTGGCATATGATAAAATGAATTCAACTTTGTATGAAGCAGCATTTAAATTAAATTATGCAATAAATAAAGCTGAAAAATCCAACGATGAGGAAGATTTAGTGGAAGTAGAAAATGCTCTTGAAGAATTTTTAAAAACTTTACAGGCTGCAGTGACTTTTGATAATGAATACCAATGGGCTTATACTTCTATACTTACTGTTCATTTAAAAATAGATATGATTGTTGATTTGGCTAAGAGCAAATTGAAATAAAATTTTTTAAATTTATTTATTGATATAATTATTTAAGTAAATTTTCTCCCTTTTAGGAAAGTAACCTTTTTTTAAGAAACCTTTTTATATAAGGCAGCAGTGTGGTCCTTTTGCCTCGTTTTAGGGTGTTTTTTAACAATTAAAAAACTAATAAATCCACCTAAACTATACAGGGTGACAAGAAAAGTTAGGACAAACTATTTATAGCAAAACGTTATTCAAAGTAAAGATACTGTGATCAAATAAAATTTAAATGATAGAGAAATAAATAAACTATATTAAGAATGAATCACTTTGTTATGCCGAAAAAGAAATACTATTATATTTCCTCTCGTTTCTCTTCTCTTATTTTGACCCCATACATTAATTTCTCCTCTCCTTATATTGTAAACCCCACATTCCCCCATTTTAATGTTCATTCGTTCGTTCGTTCATTAGTCTGTTGTTATTTTATTAAAGAGAAAAGTAAAAGACTTTATTTGTGTGTTTGGTGAAATTAAGTAAAAAGGTTAAGGACATAACCCGTTAAGTCCTACAACTTAGTTCAGTCACAATTAAAAAAATTTTTTATAGGGATGATTATTTAATGTTTGCTTATTTAGATGATCAAATAAATAAATTTTGTTTAAAAGCTCAATTTAAAAAATCAACATCCCAAAGGACAAAAATACAGTTTAAGGAACGTTTATTTAACTGTCAAAATTCTGTGACCCACCGGAAACACTATTAGTGTGGGTTAATCACAGATAATACATATAACTGAGTGGATGCTGTAAATCATAAGACATTAAGTTCCCAATTAAAATTAATACAAAAAAAGAAGAAAGTTTATCTAATAAAAAGTGAAGCAGCCGATAACAGCTCGGTTCCGCTTGGTAATAAAACTAATTGAAAATGGAAGCGAATTTGAATAATGAATAGCAAAAACCGGAGAATTTAAGGGAACTTCGAAAAATTGAAAAATTAAAAAAAATTATAGATGAGGAAAGAATTAGCGGCAGCCTAACGAAAAAGATTAAACATTAAAATAAATTAAAAATGGAATAATTCCAAATTATGGTCCGTTTTTTGTTACACCCAAAAAAGATGACAGTCTGCTGGTGCTTTATTAATATCCACCCCCCCCCCCGCCTATTTGAGTCTCAGATTAATTTTCCTTTTTTACTGGCAATTATTCTTTCTCTCACAAATTTAAATTAAAAAGCAAGTTGAAAGGGGAAAAATTAAAAGTAAGCTTTCAACTTGCCTTTTAATTTAAATTTGTGAGAGAAAGAATAATTGTCAGTAAAAAAGGAAAATTAATCTAAGACTCAAATAAAGGTGGGGGATATTAATAAAGTACCAGTCTGCTTTATGAAATTTCTAATATCCCTAAGGTTGTTGAATATAATACATGCCCCTCTTTTTAGAAAAATATTTAGATATCCCGTTAAAAACTACCCCCTAAAAAAGCAAATTATTCGTTATAATATTCATCGTCATGGATTCTCTCTTCATTAGGTTCACTATAATTTTCTATTTCATGCGTAAACATGTTTGGATCCCCAAGAAGAAAATGTCGCGATTCACCAAGATAGCTACTATATGGATCTAATTGACTTCCACACATTTGTTGACTATAATGCGATTCCTCTTTATGTTTCAACTCATTTACATGGTTAATCATCTCAGCTGGCATGACAATCATCCTTGGTGGCATATTCTCGATTGAGTTATACAGATCCATAATAATTTTAGTTTGTTCATTAACAAAGGTTATCGATGTTCCTTTATTTATTAAATATAGATTAACAAATTTAATATTAGTGATCGGCTTGGATCTGAATCCTAATTTTGATTTTTCTTGGATTCTAGGGCAAGATCAAGGCAGTTTCTGAGTTTCATGAATTTTTCAGGATACTAATTTTTTCTTGACTCAGTGTTATAAATTGTCAAGGTTGGCAAATGAAATCGAGAGTCGAGTACAGATCAAGCTTTATTAGTTTTAAATTATGGGATTAAAAGTGTGGTGAATAAAAATGATATTAAGTGATTTGAACAGATAACTGTTGATATTAGGAGATTTGAGGAGTAAAGTGGATATTGTAAGATGAAACTATGTGAATGAGTAGCCGAATATAAACCCGTCTCGTTATATTTAGTCAAATCTCCAATTACAAAATAAAATCAAGGCCTCATGGAATAAGTTTTTCAAAACCCTATATCTCTAAATAATATCAAAAAACCTTCTCGGCCCATTCGCGCAGTACGTCCAATACGGTGAACATAATTTTGATATGCTAAAATGAGTATTTAAAAATACAAGAAATTTTTAAATATCCCCTCTCCCTAAAATGATCCAATCGGAGCACATAATTTCTCCAGCACATAATAAAAGATTCGTCATAAATCCAAATCTACAGGATTAAGTCTTCAGCCCTGGGAATCAGACACACTGTCTACAGCGATGCGGCGATCATTAACTCGATTAATACCTTTTTTTTGATTCAATACTAGAGAGTCTTATCTTTATCTTATATTATACTAGAGATTCTATATCCAATACTATCATTTCAACTGTTTCGATAATCAGAAACCATGTATTCATGGATTAGGGTTGACATTTTTCCAGTCTCTCTTATATATGTAGAGTAAGGTTGGCGGATCCGGATATCCGGATCCGAAAAAAGGCCGGATATCCGGAAATTTTCGGTTCGGATACCGGATCCGGATCCGGATATCCGAAATTTTCGGTTCGGATATCGGATCCGGATCCGGATATCCGAAATTTTCGGTTCGGATATCGGATCCGGATCCGGATATCCGAAAATTTCGGTTCGGATCCTAGAATTAGGGAAAAAGGAAGAAATCTTGCCCAATGGCCTTCCAAATTTCTCAAAATTTTCGCCTGCGGCGCTGGTAAATGAACAAATCGGGTAGCCCAGGCTTCTAAAATTCTCAAAATTTTTGCCTGCGGCGCTGGAAAGGAACATCTGGTAGTCTAATCTTCCAAAATTCCCAAGATTTTCGCCTGCGGCGCTGAAAATGGAAGAAATTTGGCTTCAGTTGCTTCCAAAATTACAAAAAAATTTCGCCTGCGTCGCTAAAAAGTGAATATTTTGGCCTACTACCTTCCAAAATTACCAAAATTTTCGCCTGCGGCGCTGTCAGTGGAAGAACTCTGACTTAAGGACCTCCATGTTTCTCAAAATTTTCGCCTGCGGCGCTTAAAAAGGAAGAAAAGGGGTTTGTTTGTACGATAACTGAGGATTTACCTCAAAATATCTCATTATTCTCTTAATCCCACGATCCCAGCTATCAATTTACCAAATTCAAAAATATAGAAATAGCCGATGTATCTACTACTTCCCCCAAATCCACTAAATTCTCACAAATCATCAGATAAACTACAAAATTTTCCACACATTGATTACACCTAGATAACTGTTAAGCATAAATTCCCTCGATAACAATGTTAATCCCCAAATTCAATCATAATTGCTCCTAATCCCTTTATATCCTCCTTAAGACTCACCTTTTCAGCGCCGCAGGCGAAAATTTTTAAAATAAAAATTTCGGTTCCGGATCCGGATATCCGAAAATTTCGGTTCGGATATCGGTTCCGGATCCGGATATCCGAAATTTTCGGTTCGGATACCGGATCCGGATCCGGATATCCGAAATTTTCGGATCGGATACCGGATCCGGATCCGGATATCCGAAGATTTCCAACTATCCGCCAACCTTAATGTAGAGATGCACCTGAATATTTTACCTTCTTTCCTATAGTTCACCATAGAAAAAAATGTTGCATGCAATGAGAGTATTACCGCGATATGCATAAACCGATTTATAAGCGTCGTGAAATTTAATAAAAACGAATTGCAGAAAGTTGCAAGAAAACAAATGAAATACCAACCTGCAGGAGCATCATAGTTAATAACATGTGTAATATCCCCAATATCTATCCCCCTCGCTAAGGCGTCAGATGCGATTAAAAGACGTATTTCTCCGTCTTTAAATTTCTTCAAATTTTTCTCTCTGTCCTTTGGACCGCCAACATCGCCATGAAATGCCAAACATGGGTAACCTTCTTTAGTCAATTCATCTTTGAGCTAAAATTTTATCGTAGTTCAATATTAGTATATTTGGACCATGGAGGAATTCTATTTTTATGAGTATAAGTACAGGATTTGAATTTACCGTAAATGCTGAAATAATGTCCCTCTCTCAAATAATTACCCCCTCCCTATTAATTACTCCCTTCATCGAGAGATCGAAAATATAATTACCCCTCCTAAAAATAGTTATAATTAGACTGCTTAAAATGCTCAAATAATTACCCCCTTTCTTATAATTACCCCCTCCAGCGAGAGGATGAAACAATAATTACCCTGGGTAATTATTTTAGCAAATACTTTATGTTCTGTTTTCCAAAGCCTAGCTTTTATATCTGGTTGGTACAGCTTCCGTACTATCTCCCATGCGTCGGAGTTAATATATTTAAAAAATTTACTTGATCACAAGTGTGTTTTTTGTTTGAAAAAACAACAATTTTAGGATTGTTTATCTTGATTTGATCAATTTCTTCCTTAAGCTTTTTATATTTCAAAGTTTCTGTAACCCAAATAAACTTTTGACGAAGATTTGGCGGTAATTTTCTGGTTATTGTCAGTTTAACCTATATAAAAGAACATATAATTTTGTAAAAAATATTGAGGCCTGACAAAATAACTTCAGTATTATAACAAGAAAGCAGTATTTTCTGTCGTTACCCTCTATAGTGGATTGTAAAAAAGATCTATTAACGTTGATCCCGTAAAAAGAATTCAGGAAGCAAGCAATTCTGCAATCCTGAAAAGCCAATACTTGAAAGGAGTATCTGCTTTGTTAGATTATTGCATCTTGTTCTATTTATTCTTTTCAAATGATCATATAATTCTAATAATGTAAGGATGATTCACCCAACTCATTATGGTGAGTAAGTCATGGTTGGAGGATAACTGACTCCTTGTATGTTT